CATGGTTTGCCAAAATTTCAACCAGGAAAGATGATTGAGTTCCATGGGCTGCCTCTTCATCCTACTTACGGGCCAAAATGTTCAATGCCAAGCATCTTTTGTGTGACCTGAAGGAGTGAACACCACAAACTTATCCTTATTTACCTTCAAGTTTGTCTTCAGATCTAAAAGGGGCACCACAGCTTCGACAATTGCAGAGATAAAAAAAAAAAAAAAGGCAACCTTTTTATGGGCACCTAAGTTTTCTTCTGCCTTTAAGAATCTTAAACACATTAAAAATATTATTGTTAAAAATAACGATATAATTTTGACTCCTCACGCTCCCCTGGTGTGACCAGGAGTCCACTGGCTACCTAAAACCCCTCCCCAAAGCAGTTTGTTTCTCAGAATCAGTCTGTCTTAAAATGTCTCATAATACCTATCGGGATGGGGAATACATGTAAATCCATGGCTGATTCATGTCAATGTACGACAAAAACCACTACAACATTGTAAAGTAATTAGCCTCCAACTAATAAAAAAATTAATTAATTAACTAATTTTAATTACTGAGCATCCTTCATGGAAGCAAACTCTCCCAGCCTTCAGCAGTGGAAGGCACAAATGTGAATCATTTCAAGCAGCACGCCTCATCTTAGTACTTGACGATTCCATTTGTTTGCTGATTGGAGGTGGGGCTTCTGTTCTCTTGAGATCTCCTCTCCAGATAGTCTCTCTAGGAGTCCTTGACTCGGTGAGAGGGGCTTTCTTTTTCTCCCTTTTTTGTAATGAGGCATGGTTGCTCTATAGCGTTGTGTTACTTTCTGCTATATAATCAAGTGTATCCGTTATATGTATACATATGTCCCCCCCATCTCGGACCTTCCTCCCACCCCTCTGGTTCATCGCAGAGCTCCATGTGCTACACAGCCTGTCCTCACAAGTTACTTATTTTACACATGGTAATGTATATGTGTCAATCCTAATCTCCCAATTCATTCATTGAAGCACTATTTACAATAGTCAGGACACAGAAGCAACCTTAATGTTCAATGACAGGTTTATGGGTAAGGAAGATGTAGTACATATACACAATGGAATACTACTCAGCCATAAAATGGAACAAAATTGGTTCATTTGTAGAGATGTGGACGCACCCAGAGTCTGGCATGTCATAGGGAATGAAGTAAGTCAGAAAGAGAAAAACAAATTCATATATTAATGCTTATATGTGGAATCTAGAAAAATGGTGTAGATGAACCTATTTTCAGGTCAGGAATAGAGATGCAGACACAGGGGATGGCTATGAGGAGGACCTTCTCAAATAATCAGAGCTGGAACTATTGAAGCCCCAGAGTCCTTCTGTCCCATCTTCTTATCGATGACTCTCCTTTCATTCTCTTGACATCTGTTATTTTGCAGTCTATGGGGAACTGATAGCCTAGTCTCACCAAACCATTAACCTCTAGCATTCTTTCTCTCCTTCGAATCAGCAAGAAAATATCTTCTGCCCTTCATGATTGGCTCTTTCAAGAAAGGCATCTCTGGCAGGGTTCTAAAGCTCATGCTGACAGATCACATGGACATGACAAGGGCTGGGATGTGAGATTACTGGACACAGCATCCAACCAACCTTGCCATCCATGACCCCTCTGATACCCTGAACCTGCTGCTCATACTGGCCCCCATCAGCTCACCTTCTTTACTCATTCTGACCCTCAGGTAATCTTAATCCAGTAACAATGCAGTGCACATAGGAACCCTGCTAGGTGGCTGGATTTACATTTATCCTACAGGTCCCAGACAGACTAGGAGATGAGACTGGGTTCACCGAAACCAGAATAGTTATCACTGTATTAAAATTTACAAACTTATTTATCTCCTGATACATCCTATCATCCAGACCCCAACTTTTAAGTTCAACACTCAATTATTTTAGGTCCTCAATTCAAATAAGGTTAATGTGATATTGACATTAAAACAATTCACACTGGATTACAAGTCATTTCTAACTGCATTTTGGTAGTGTAATGTGAGTAAGAAGTGTTTTTAATTGGGATCTGTTTGTGGGTGGGTGATGAAGTTTCTGGTCACCCCTTTACTATTCAGTGTACCTGCCTTCCTCTTGCTTGGAGCCCTTTTATAAAAAAGCAGGTAGTCAGAAACTTATTCTCTCTCTCACTTAAGACTATTACAGTGTAGATAGCCCTAGTATGGTTGAGAGAAAATGCTCCAAACAAAGTTCATACTTTCAGAGAGATTTTCAGAAGTTTTATATACATAACCAAATCAATATGGCACATACCAGCTTGCCTTGGACTGTCCACAGCCAAGGAAAGCCAATCTAGCATAGCAGGTGGTCATCAAACTCTTCCCAACAAGCAAGTGCCTTTGACTTTTTTTGAGAAAAATCCATTTAGAGCACTGTCTCCCACACATGACCAAAAATGTGAAGAACATCAATGACCTCTTTAGGGAATGGGCCAGAGACAACCAGGCAGAAGATCAGGGATCCAAAAACAGAACTCCAGTGCTAACAGGGATGCTGAGCCAGGAACTCATGGCTGTGTCCAGGTGACACACAGCATCCTTTCTCTAGGACAGCACGAAAGTCCTCAGCTCTGTTCAAGTTTGGCTTCTGGAGCTGGGGGATACTAAGCCTGGAGACGCAGTAACTCCACGTCTGCAGCTTCATTGCCCAGGGTTGGGGTAGAGACACATTTGTCCTCCCACAAAGGAAACTGGGGTGTTGACTAGCAGCTTCATCAGCTCCAGGGGTTTCTCTAATGGCTCAGCTGGGAAAGAATCTGCCTGTGATGCAGGAGACACAGGAAATGCAAGTCCGATTCCTGGGTTGGGAGGACCCCCTGGAGAAGGAGTGGCAACTCACTCCAGTATTCTTGCCTGAAAAGTCCCATGGACAGAGGAGCCTGGTGGGCTACAGTCCATAGGCTACTCACAAAGAGTCAGACACGACTGAACATGAGCACATCCGCTCCAGGTCAAGGATCACTCTCTGAGTGAATGCTGAACAAGTAGACAGTAAGATACTTTTCTGATCTCTTTCCTCATCTACTCAGCCACCAACTTATCCATTGCTTCTTAGCCATTTGGTTCTAGCCCCATCATTCAAGATGTGTAACTATGTCTTTAGGACAGCAGATTACCTTTGTATTGGGAATATAGTCTCTATTCCATGATTCCAAGTCAGCATAATTCAGGAATACTTATGCAAGTTCTCCTCCAAAATTCACCTCTGATGAATTGGTAGGGAAAGCTAATATTGATTATTCTTGGTCAATTGTAATGTTGACCAAATTTAGTATTTAATTTTTTAATCAAAAATATATTAAATATTTTATAATATTTTAATTTACAGAAGAGAAATTGATATTTAGAGAAGTTAAGTGAGTTGTCTGAGGCCATGCCCTATGGCAGATACAACTTCCATGAGCTCTGTTTTCCCCAAATACTCTCCTCTTACAGCTATGTGGTGCTGAGCCTCAGCAGCAGAGTTGATCATGTTTGTCCTTAAATGACTGCAGCCTGTCATTTAACAAACAATTGTCATTTAACAAACAAAACTATGCGATCCTTCACTGGATGTCAAAGAAAATAGATTACTTGGCTTGTAACACAAACCTAGGTTCACTAAACTGAGTACAAATGAGTTTCTGGGAGACAGATTTTGACATTGAATGTGACATGCTCCAAATTCAGTGTGGGCAACCGAAGACTCTAGTCCCAGTCTGAACTGAGCAGGTATCTTCTTGAAACTCACACATGCAGTCAGAAAAGTCCATAGACTTTGATTCAGTATTTCTAAATCAAGAACAAGCTTTGAGTCCTAAAGTGGAGGACCTGAACTCTTAACTGTAGATTGTTTGCTGGAGCAATAAAGGCTACTATACAGCTTCTTCTCCTGATCCACCATCATTACCACCACCAAGAAAAACTGAAAAGAACGCTGAAGAGGAAGTGAGGAAAGGAAAGGAGATACATTACAAAACCCAAGCTTTCTATGCTGTGGGAGCCTTGTTAGACAGTATCTTCCAGCAGGTCATAAGCACCCCATTTCTTTCGCTCCATCCTCTAGGAACTACTATTCTGTTCTCTGCTTCTATGAATTTGACTATATTAGATTCCATATATAAGTGAGATCATGAAATATTGGTTTTTTTTGAATTTGACTTATTTCACTTGGCATAATGTACAAAGTTCCAGTTATGCATATGTACAACTTCTTGGGAGGTCCAAAGTATGGCATGAGGACTACAGTTAAACGTACTATATTGTATGGCTTTTCTGGTGGCTCAGATGGTAAAGAATCTGCCTGCAATGCAGGAGACCTGGGTTTGATCCTTGGGTTGGGGAGATCCCCTGGAGAAGGGAATGAAAACCCACTCTAGTATTTTCGCCTGAGAAGTTCATGGACAGAGGAACCTGGTGGGCTACAGCCCATGGGGTCACAAAGAGTGGGATATGACTATTTAACAAACACACACATACTGTATGCTTCATATTTACAAGTAGAGTGGATAATAAATTATATCTTCTTAATAGACACACACACAAGTGGATTAAACTGATAATGAATGATGATGAATATGTGAACTTGATTGTAGTGGTTATTTCACAATGTATATACATCAAAATATCAAACATGCACAACAAACATATACAATGTGTATATGACAATTTTAGCTCAATAGATAGGTTTTTAAAAAAATTTTTAATAGATAGGTTTTTAAAAGAACTAATAAATTCCTGAGAAATAAGACCAGAGACAAAAGTATGACCAGCTGTGTAATTTCTCAATCTAATACACAAGATCAAAAATTAAGAATATCTACTCAGAATCCATAATTCATACTAATAAACTGTAAGGGAACAATAACTAACAGAATGCAATCAAGTGGTCAAACATTCATTGAGTATTCATTTCTTGCAGGCTCAAATCTAGTGGTATAGGATCTGGGGCTTGTGTGAACACACGTGGCAGTTACAAAGACAGGCAAACATCATTGAGATAAGACTTTTGCCCTGTGCAAGAGTCTCTCCAGGGCCCCCATCATGTCCCTGTTCCTTAGGCTATAAATGAAGGGGTTCAGCAGTGGAGTGACCACTGTGTACATCACAGAGGCAATGGTGATCTTGTCCCCGGACGTGCTGGATGAGGGGAAGATATACAGCCCAATAATTGTTCTATAATACAGAGACACCACAGAGAGGTGGGAGCCACATGTGGACAATGCTTTGCAGATCCCCTTGGCGGAGGGGACCTTCAGGATGGTGGCCCCAAAGCATCCATAAGAGATCAGGATGTACACTAGTGGGAGGATGATGACGGCCACTCCTGCTGTGAAAATGGCCAGCTTATTGAGGGATGTGTCTGAGCAGGAAAGCTTCAGCAGGGCACCAAGGTCACAGAAGAAATGGGGGATAGTGTGGTCAGCACAAAAGGACAGCTGGGTCAGGAGGAGGGTGTGACACAGGGCATTGGTGCAGGAAAGAATCCAGGATACAGTTACTAGTAAGGTGCACAGCCCCTGTCCCATGATGGTGCTGTAGTGGAGAGGGTGACAGATGGCCACGTACTGATCATAGGCCATCAAGGTGAGTAGGAAATCATCTAGACCAGTGAAAAATATGAAAAAATACATCTGTGTTATGCATCCTGCATAGGGGATGGATTGACTTTAGTCTGTATGTTTATCAGCACTTTAGGGACAGTGACAGATGAAAAGGAGACATCAGTGAGGGCCAAGTGGCTGAGAAAGAAGTACATCGAGGTGTGGAGGTGAGCATCTAGCCTGATAAGCAGGATGATGAGCAGATTGCCCAGCACCGTGGTCAGGTGCATGTTAAGGAACAGGGCAAAGAACATGCCCTGCTGCTCTGGCCAAATAGGGAGCCCCAGGGGGAGGAACTCGGACATGCTGCTCTGATTCTCCCTCTTCATGCTCCTCTCTTGTCTGCTGGGAATGAAAGGAGAGTGAAAGAAGTATATTTTGATTGCAGCAGGTATATATAAATGAGTCCTTTCTCTTGGTGAATATGTCAGTGTCTGTCTGCATTGCTATGTCCTTGCAAAAACCCCTAAGATGAATGGTATTATCATGTATAATGAGAGAATTTACCAACCAAGAAGAGAATTTTATACAAACGAGATACTGGCTCAGTGGCATTTTTCCATCACCTCAGTAAACAGAAAGTGTCACACTGTCTTAGCAGAGAAATAGTAAGCTAAAAACCTCCCTAATATCTCTTCTATTTCTGTACATATAATCATAAGGTTTAGACCTTCAGGCTGTGACATATTGGCGTATTGAAATCTGAATTCAAAGTCCTTTCATATGTAAAGTATAAGGATGATGTTTCATTAACGAATTCTTAAAGGAAACTGGATAAAAAATACACAGCCAAGGAATTTCCTGGCAGTCCAGTGCTTAAGACTTCACCTTGCAAGTCAGGGGGTGTGGGTTCAATCCCTGTTCCGGGTATAAAGATATCACATGCCTTATGGCTAAAAACCAAAACATGAAACAAAACAATGTGGTAACAAATTCAGCAAAGAATTCAAAAAATGATCCACATGACAAAATTTCTTTAAAAATAAATAAGCAAATAAATAGTCAGATCCATTATGTATAAGTGTTGAAGAAAGATGCTTAACTGTCAACTGAACTTACAGATCACTTGCAATATCACTGCTCTATGAAGTAAAAATATTACTGGCAGTTATAGTACTTTATAGCAGTTTCAGTTCAGTTCAGTTCAGTCTTTCAGTAATGTCCGACTCTTTGCAACCCCATGAACTGCAGCACACCAGGCCTCCCTGTCCATCACCAACTCCCAGAGTTCACCCAAAACCATGTCTGCTGAGTTAGTGATGCCATTCAACCATCTATCCTCTGTCGTCCCCTTCTCCTCCTGCCCTCAATCTTTCCCAGCATCAGGGTCTTTTCAAATGAGTCAGCTCTTTGCATCAGGTGGCCAAAGTACTGGAGTTTAAGCTTCAACATCAGTCCTTCCAATGAACACCCAGGACTGATTTCCTTTAGGATGGACTGGTTGGATCTCCTTGCAGTCTAAGGGACTCTCAAGAGTCTTCTCAAACACCATAGTTCGAAAGCATCAATGCTTTTGTGCTCAGCTTTCTTTATAGTCCAGCACTCACATCCATACATAACTACTGGAAAAACCATAACCTTGACTAGACAGACCTTTGTTGACAAAGTAATGTCTCTGTTTTTCAATATGCCATCTAGGTTCGTCACAACTGTCCTTCCAAGGAGTAAGCGTCTTTTAATTTCATGGCTGCAATCATCATCTGCAGTGATTTTGGAGCCCAAAAATAAAGTCTCTCACTATTTCCACTGTTTCCCCATCTATTTACCATGAAGTGATGGGACCAGATGCCATGATCTTAGTTTTCTGAATCTTAAGCTTGAAGCCAGCTTTTTCACTTTCCTCTTTCACTTTCATACTAGTACTCATATTTCAGTCCAGTTAAGTTCAGTTCAGTCGCTCAGTCGTGTCCAACTCTTTGCGACCCCATGAATCACAGCATGCCAGGCCTCCCTGTCCATCACCAACTCCCGCAGTTTACTCAAACTCATGTCCATCGAGTTGGTGATGACATCCAGCCATCTCATCCTCTGTTGTCCCCTTCTCCTCCTGCCCCCAATCCCTCCCAACATCAAGGTCTTTTCCAACGAGTCAACTCTTCACACGAGGTGACCAAAGTATTGGAGTTTCACCTTCAGCCTCAGTCCTTCCAATGAACACCCAGGACTGATGTCCTTTAGGATGGGGTGGTTGGATCTCCTTGCAGTCCAATGGACTCTCAAGAGTGTTCTCCAACACCACAGTTCAAAAGCATCAATTCTTCAGTGCTCAGCTTTCTTTACAGTCCGACTCTCACATCCGTACATGACCACTGGAAAAACCATAGCTTTGACTAGACAGACCTTTGTTGGCAAGGTAATGTCTCTGCTTTTTAATATTCTACCTATGTTGGTCATATCTTTCCTTCAAAGGAGTAAGTGTCTTTTAATTTCATGGCTGCAGTCACCATCTGCAGTGATTTTGGAGCCCCAAAAATAAAGTCAGCCACTGTTTCCACCATTTCACCATCTATTTGCCATGAAGTGATGGGACCAGATGCCATGATCTTAGTTTTCTGAATGTTGAGCTTTAAGCCAACTTTTTCACTCTTCTCCTTCACTTTCATCAAGAGGCTTTTTAGTTCCTCTTCACTTTCTGCCATAAGGGTGGTCTCGTCTGCATATCTGAGGTTATTGATATTTCTCCTGGCAATCTTGATTCCAGCTTGTGCTTCTTCCAGCCCAGCGTTTCTCATGATGTACTCTGCATATAAGTTAAATAAGCAGGGTACAATATACAGCCTTGATGTACTCCTTTTCCTATTTGGAACCAGTCTGTTGTTCCATGTCCATTTCTAACTGTTGCTTCCTGACCTGCATATAGGTTTCTCAAGAGGCAGGTTAGGTGGTCTGGTATTCCCATCTCTTTCAGAGTTTTCCACAGTTTGTTGTGATCCACACAGTCAAAGGCTTTGGCATAGTCATTAAAGCAGAAGTAGATGTATTTCTGAAACTCTCTTTTTTTTTCAGTGATCCAGCGGATGTTGGCAATTTGATCTCTGGTTCCTCTGCTTTTTCTAAAATCAGCTTGAACATCTGTAAGTTCATGGTTCACGAACTGTTGAAGCATGACTTGGAGAATTTTGAGCATTACTTTACTAGCATGTGAGATGAGCATAAAGTGCAGTAGTTTGAGCACTATTTGGCATTGCCTTTCGTTGGGATTGGAATGAAAACTGACCTTTTCCAGTCATGTGGCCATTGCGCATTTTCCAAATTTGCTGAGATATTGAGTGCAGCACTTTCACAGCATCATCTTTCAGGATTTGAAATAGCTCAACTGGGATTCCATCACCTCCACTAGCTTTGTTTGTAGTGATGCTTTCTAAGGCCCACTTGACTTCACATTCCAGGACATCTGGCTCTAGGTGAGTGATCACATCATCGTGATTATCTGACCAGATGGTCAACACCGAAATCAGATTTATTATATTCTTTGCAACCAAAGATGGAGAAGTTCTATACAGTTAGCAAAAACAAGACCAGGAGATGACTGTGGCTCAGATCATGAACTCCTTATTGCCAAATGCAGACTTAAATTGAAGAAAGTAGGGAAAACCACTAGACCATTCAGGTATGACTTAAATCAAATCCCTTATAATTATACAGTGGAAGTGAGAAATAGATTTAAGGGATTAGATCTGATAGACAGAGTGCCTGATGAACTATGGACAGTGGTTAGTGACATTGTACAGGAGACAAGGATTAAGACCATCCCCATGGAAAAGAAATTCAAAAAAGCAAAATGGCTGTCTGAGGAGGCCTTACAAATAACTGTGAGAAGAAGAGAAGTGAAAAGCAAAGGAGAAAAGGAACAATATTCCCATTTGAATGTAGAGTTCCAAAGAATAGCAAGGAGAGATAAGAAAGCCTTCCTCACCCTCTTACACTGTTGGTGGGAATGCAAATTAGTACAGCCACTATGGAAAACAGTGTGGAGATTTCTTAAAAAGCTGGAAATAGAACTGCCATATGACCCAGCAATACCACTTCTGGGCATACACATCGAGGAAACCAGATCTGAAAGAGACACATGCACCCCAATGTTCATCGCAGCACTGTTTATAATAGCCAGGACATGGAAGCAACCTAGATGCCCATCAGCAGATGAATGGATGAGGAAGCTGTGGTACATATACACCATGGAATATTACTCAGCCATTAAAAAGAATTCATTTCAATCAGTTCTAATGAGATGGATGAAACTGGAGCCCATTATACAGAGCGAAGTAAGCCAGAAAGATAAAGACCATTACAGTATACTAACACATATATATGGAATTTAGAAAGATGGTAACGATAACCCTATATGCAAAACAGAAAAAGAGACTCCGATGTATAGAACAGACTTGTGGACTCTGGGAGAAGGTGAGGGTCAGATGTTTCAAGAGAACAGCATCGAAACACGTATATTATCTAGGGTGAAACAGATCACCAGCCCAGGTTGGGTACATGAGACAAGTGCTCAGGCCTGGTGCACTGGGAAGACCCAGAGGGATCAGGTGGAGAGGGAGGTGGGAGGGGGGACCGGGATGGGGAATACATGTAAATCCATGGCTAATTCATTTCAATGTATGACAAAAACCACTGCAATGATGTAAAGTAATTAGCCTCCAACTAATAAAAATAAATGAAAAAAAAATAAAATAAAATAAAAAAATTTAAGATCATGGCTTCCAGTCCCATCACTTCGTGGCAAATAAATGGGGAAACAATGGAAATAGTGAGAGACTTTATTTTGGGGGGCTCCAAAATCACTGCAGATGGTGATTGCAGTCATAAAATTAAAAGACACTTGCTCCTTGGGAGAAAAGTTATGACAAACCTAGAAAGCCTATTAAAAAGAAGCAGACACATTACTTTACCAACAAAGGTGCATATCCTCAAAGCTATGGTTTTTCCAGTAGTCATGTATGGATGTGAGAGTTGGACCATAAAGAAGG